CCCACTCCACTATGCCACACGGATGAGTCGTGGGGTGTGCGCCTATTTGGCAGTAGTTTCTTGGGGGGTGGGATTTATGGTAGGCTTGGGCCAGACCAATTATATTTTCTCCTTGGACTTCTGTGGCCCCTGTGAGATTGACCATTTCTTCTGTGACCTGCCCCCTATCCTGGCGCTGGCCTGTGGAGACACATCCCACAATGAAGCTGCTGTCTTTGTGGTCGCTGTCCTTTGCATTTCCAGCCCATTTGTGTTGATCCTTGCTTCCTATGTGAGGATTCTGGCTGCAGTGCTGGTCATGCCCTCACCTGAGGGCCGCCACAAAGCTCTCTCCACCTGTTCCTCCCACCTACTCGTAGTAACCCTATTCTATGGCTCAGGGACAGTCACCTACTTGAGGCCCAAGGCTAGTCACTCACCTGGAACCGATAAACTCCTCGCTCTCTTCTACACGGTGGTGACGTCCATGCTGAATCCCATAATTTATAGTTTGCGGAACAAGGAAGTGAAGGCAGCCCTGCGGAGAACTCTGGGAAAGAGGGAAGTTTTGTCCCATGGATAGTAACAGAGAGCCTGGAAAATGTGTACTTCAGAAAAGTGTTCAGCCAAGTAAAGAAACCAAGAAAATGCTGTGTAGTCTTTCATCTGTCCTGCGATGTGGTTCTTTAATAACTCATTGGGATTTTAGAAGTTTCTCGACTCAGTGTTATGTTGATTGCAAATTCTTGAAGGAAGCTATCGACTAAATATCTGAGTCTAACAATACAGAAAATTGTTTACATGCTGCTGAGATTAACTTCAAACTTACCAGATTTATAATTTACCAATATGTCAGAAATTTGTCAAATTCTTAATTCATATTCTTAGACATATTTTGTATCTGAGGGCTCTGACTTCCATACTTATCTGTTCTATTTGTCTCTTACTTTTCTAATAACTCTATGAAGCACAGTGTTTCATTCTGTAAATGTGTTTTAAATTTTCTGAATTGAATTTATGGGTACATATTTCAGAGTGATAAGTTTTCAAGTGTGAATTTGGGTACTTAAAAATGTATTGATAATCCCTAACCAAACTTTAATTTTAGAACTATTTACTCTAGAACTTTCAAACAAAAGTGTCATAAATTCTCATCAAGTTACCATAAAAATATTTTCAAAGAAAAAAATTAATATGAAAATGCAAAGATGGGTGAAGAAATTTTATTAATAATTAAAACAAATCATTTATAAGATTTTAATACAATTTACATATGTGCATACATATTTGGGGAATGCTCGACAACTTGCCTCAAGAGAAATTAGCATATTTACTGCATAATCCAGCAGCCCTAAGAACTTAAAAATGCATAATTTTGAATGTGAACATCTAGTTCTAGGAGAGATACAGTGTCAATAGCTGACCTATGCACTATTTCAAATGTAGTATCATTATGACAGTTCTTAGAAAACTACAAGTTCTACCTTTGTCTTGATCTGTCATGTATGAACTTTGATCTCTCATAATGTGATAGTTCTACTTTGACATGGTAATACTGTTGCTCAATAATGAGCCAGCATGTCTCCATAAGTAGAATGATGAATCGTCCAGGCTGTCTGATTCCAGAACCAAGGAGGCCATGTTCCATTTCATGATATCTGTGGTCTGCTCTATACTTTTGTATCCACTTCTGAATGAAAAGAGTATTGAACAGAGCCAAATGTACTTAGAAAATACCTCTTCTAGGTGGTTATAATCTTGACATTGAAATTTCTCTCTACTTCTGGAGATTGATTTTATCTGATTTAGTTTTCATTTGAAAGCTTCTCCTTTGACTTGAATCATCATATGCAAAAAATAACTTTTCAGTTATATCTAACAATATTCTTTTTTTTTAATTTTATTTAATTTTATTTGTGAACATACTGTACAGAGGAGTTACAGTTACATGGGCAGGATAATGCGTACATTTCTTACCAAGCATTGCAGCCTCCTCCTTTTCTAACAATATTCTTAACGAACATCTAAGTAATATTTAAAATGACAATCTTTTAAGTGTGATATAAAAATCTAAAACCATATCTTCTTTTTGCATAAAATGCTGGCACAAGAGTATTCTGTCTTCAAGGGGCTGGGAAGGTGGCTCAGTGGTAGAGCACTTGCCTTGCATGCATGAGGCCCTGGGTTCGATTCCTCAGCACCACATAAGCAAAAAGAAAAAAGCCAGAAGTGGCGCTGTGGCTCAAGTGGTAGAGTGCTAGCCTTGAGCTGAAGAGCTGAGGGACAGCACCCAGGCCCAGAGTTCAGGCCCCACAACCAGATGCTCCCCTCTCAAAAAAAGAGTATTCTGTCTTCAAGTAAATTTCTCAAACAGATACATTTTTAGAATCCATTAAAGTTTATTGGACTCAACAGTATATGACCCAGCACCAATGGCTCACACCTATAATTCTAAGTACTCTGCAGGCTGATACCTGGGCAAGAAAGTCATTAAGACTCTTATCTCCAATTATCCACCTTAATGAAGCCAGAAGTGGACCTGTGGCTCAAAGGGTCAAGCACCGGCCTTGAGTGAAAACACTAAAGGAGAAAGCCCCAATACCAGCACAAAAGAAGTTAATGAAAGTAAAATAAGATCATTCAGGTGGGCATCATTCAATATAACTGGCATTCTTCTGAGATGAAGAAATTAAAACACAGACAAGTTCAGAGGGAAAAACAAGGGAGGACATAGGGAAGGTGACCTACTATCTTAAAGTTCAGGTATGTGAAAGAACAATCTCAGAGTTTAAGCCTTTAGAATAGAGAAAAATGAGTTTTTGTTATTTGAGCAAAACATTGAAAAAAAATTTGACTGCTTACCCTAAGAACTCTACACAGAAACTGTACTCTAATTAACATTCTCACTGAGTTCAAGTTAGTTATTCTAAAGCTATTTTATGTGTTTACTGAAACTGAATACTAATGAGTATTCCACTGTCACCTTGAGCAAGTTACATACCAACTGCATCTGTCTGCTGACAAAATGCAGTTTTAGCTTCAGAAGATATAGTCCCAGTCATATGTTGAAAAGAGCCTATACTGGACAAGGTGCCATCACAAGCCTGTCAATTCCAATGTCTATTCTCTTCCAAGGCAAAGGCGAACATTTTCCCTAATAGACCAGCAGAAGGCCTAAGGTTAGTGAATATATCAAAAAGAAGGCCTATGATTGGTGTAAACACAGTCCTTCATTTGCATGAAGCCTCCCATATTTGGTCAAAGACCCCTTGCCACCACCCTTTCCCCACCTTTTCTTACTGCATAAGGAGGATATTCAGCTTGCTTTTTCAGCCAGCAGAGATATCCCTGTCTATGCTGCCTCCTGGTAGGGAAATACCTACCTATGATGACTCCTGCAAAACTGAGCCCAATTAATGGTTTCCCTTAAATGATTTTGTTTTGCTTTCTTTTGATCCTAGTCAGAAGCAGTAGAGTGGGCTGAACAGGTAACACAAAGAGGATAGGAGTAGTAGCAGCAGCAGAGTGATACAGTTTGAAGCAGCAAGAATGGCATCAGAACTAGCAGTAGCTGATGCCTTTTCTGTAGCAGTGGCACTAGTACCAATTGGGCATCTGAAGATGCACAAGGTAGACTTTACACTCTAGGTTAATCTTTTATATACACAAACATACACATATTTCTTTAAGCAGTTATACAGAGGAGTTACCCTTCCTCAGAGCAGTTTATGAATACATTTCATCTTGATCAATATCATCCCTTTCAACATTAACTTTGTTAATAATATTCTGTTACTTGGTATAAGTGTTATTAACATTTTTTTCCTTTCTGTAGAACACAGAATAATTATGTTCTTTATGTGTGTAATACTGCAATAAATTACACTAAATAAACTAAGTTCTTCCAGTAGTTCACCAAAACTATTGACACAAGTGAAAGGAGACAGACACACAACATATGTTTGCTAAGTCTTTTATAAAACATGAAGTTGTTCATTGGCCACAGAGGTGCACACACACAAAGCTCTTATTATACACATCAAGGGAGGTGGGTGCTGCTCACAAAGAATGCCCTACAAATATAATATAGGCACAACTGGAAGAATCTACACTGCCTAATACACTAATGGCATGGATGTAAGTAATTGAAAGGACAGTTTATTACCAGATGAATAAATATCAACATGCAGAACACAAATTGTGTTTATGAATTTTGTTTTAGAATCTGGGTTTAGAGATTAAAGGTTGATCAAAGGAAATGAGAGTGAGTATATGGTGACAAGAGATGCTTAAGAGAGTTTGCCTACATTACCTTGGCAATATCTTCCTGTCTGTAAGTAGCCAGTCTCACAGCTAGCTCATCTCTCTGTACAACCTCTTCTGTGGTGAGAGTGATTTTTAAAAAAAATCACTGCTTTGTGAGTCTGTTTGTGTTTAGCCCAAGGTGATCTTGCTAAAATGAACAAACATCTCCCAAAATAAGGCAAAATTTTAGATAATGGTTTTCTATTAGGTCTTTATAACATCTAAAAAGCTATGAACAGAAACCATACTGCCTGTGGGACTATCAGAGGTGAGACCTAACAAATAATAGGAAGTATTATCAGATAAACTTAAAGCTTCACAGTTATGGTTCAAGCTGTACTTCCATGAGGTAGATGATTTTCTGTTCTGATGAGAAAGTAGGTTTGCCCTGTGTGTCATCAGCCATATCATTAGTCCCTGGAGAAATAACCCTCAGACTTATAAATGTGTTATACATATGCACAATCATGTACCTAAATAAATTTATTTCTTCATAGAATTTTATGAAGTATCTGAAAAGAGATATTATACAATATTTGCAGAAGGAAGCATTAAAAAAGATCTAGGTAACCAACATCAAGACATAATTGATGACAATTTACCACCTACTTTTATTTAGGAGATTTGCTAATGCTTCTAATAAATGAAAAGAGAAAACATAATTATATGATATATTAAAGTCTGAGAGACTGAATGGGTATGTTTCATATTTTTCCCTAACTTGAGTCTTTGGACAGCAACTGTTTTATTGCCCATTTAACTTCTTTGTTTCTCAAGGTATAGATCAAAGGATTAAGTGAGGGAGTCACTACAGTATAGAAAAGGGTAAGGAATTTTCTATGATTTTGTGTGTATTCACTCTTAGGTTGAATGTAGACAGAAATTATAGTACCATAAAACAAAACCACGACAATCAGGTGAGACCCACAAGTCCCAAATGCTTTTCTCCTGCCTTCAATGGATTTTATCCTTAGCACACTTCTAACAATGCAGCCGTAAGAGACTAAAATAAGCCCCAGAGGTAAAACCACATAGAGGACAGTAGCCATGGCAAGCTCATTTTCTAGGAAAGTTGTGTCCATGCAGGCAATTTTTATCAGAGCAGGCTCTTCACACATGAAATCATCCACCCTATGGTGACTACAGAGTCGTAACTGGAAAACAAGACTGGTTTGGATTGTGGATTCCACAAAACCACTTATCCAGGCCACAGCTGCTAGTAGCTGGAGACGTTTGGGGTGCATGATAATGCCATAATGGAGAGGTTGGCAGATAGCATTGAAGCGATCATAGGCCATGACAGTCAGGAGGACACACTCTGTGGAGCCCAGCCCCAGTGTAATATACAGCTGAGTCACACAACCAGCATAGCTAATGGTCTTCTCAGGGCCCTTGAGGTTCCAAAGCATCTGTGGAACAATGCTAGTAGTGAAGCAGAGGTCCAGGAAGGAGAGATTGCAGAGGAAGAAATACATGGGTGTGTGGAGTTTGGGATTCAAGAGTGACACAAGTATTATCATTGAGTTCCCCAGCAGTGTCAGAATGTAGATAATGGAAATGACCAGGAGAAGAACTATCTCCAGTTGAGGCTGGTCAGAAAAACCCAGTAAGATAAAACCTGCTGGATAACTGAAATTAAACTCTTTCATCGTTTCTTAGTTGTGACTCATCTTTCTCGACAATTCTTATTTTCTTCCTATGAGAAGAAAGTCAGTTGCCAAAAGTGTTAGAAATAAAATTAGCCAACTAAAATATAGGCTTTTAAGTACTAGAGTGAGTAAAGAAACCCAAATATAGAGATAATGTAATACAAAAGAAATGATAAATTTACTTGTTACAGAGAAGAGACAAACGAATACCATTAAAACAGTCGATATAAAGCATACAAAATACATTAGAGACATACACTAAAACAAACGTAAAGTGTATGAAAAATTATCTAATATTACATACATATTCCCTCATTTGGAATCCTGGGAAATAGTCTAACACACTGAAAAAATAATAACTAAAATCATGAATGTATGATGGTTAGGCAACAACTCTAATACATACGTTTAAAAAGAACACAGACTAGGCAAGACTTTGAGAGAGAAGGTGCATATAGTTAGAATCACAAGATGATGAAATAGAATATTAAGCAGGAACAGTAAAATGTGACTAATTAATTTTTTCTAAGAAGCAATCAATTACTCAAAATCAAACCAGTGATAAAATGGAGAGAAACTTCTGTGATCTCTCCGTATTAGTCATAGGTACTCTGTAAATATTGTTCTACAGAAAATTCTAATTCATTATTCTCAATTAGAAAGTTATTTCCCTTGGTGAACAACATGCTATAAATCAGTATTGGTCCAAGAGTACATGAATTCAATCACCTAATAGGATAGATTAGTCTATGGTAATTTTATGAATTAAAAAATAGCTTACAGTGCAATTACATAAACTGCACTTTAGGCTAGTTTCTAGAGAAGATTAAGATATGTAGTTATGAATATCTATACCTCTGGTCAATTTTAGGATCCTCCAAATTACAGCCAATTCATTAACTCAAGTTTGAAAATTTCTCTCCTAAAAAAAGTATTTTGCTGAATTCTTAGGAGAAGATCACAAAGGCTCAATAGCTATGTCCATATGATCATATAAAATGATATTCTCAAAATGAACTCCAAAAAATGGAATCAAGAGTGTTTTTGTTATTTTGGGTTTTTTTCTCCTTTGTTGCTATCTTTATTTTCTGTACCTTTTGTCTTGTATGTAAGTTCATCTGTTTAGGAGAGAGCAAAAGGAAGGACAGTAATGGTGAAACTAAACATTATGTTGAAAATGAATTATATAACATGGGGTGGGGATGGTAGGGAAAAATGGAGAAAGCAAGGGAAGGAGTGACACTCTTCAAAAACAACTGTACATGGTACCTGGTTTATGTAACAACCCTCTGTACATCACCTTCACAATAACAATTAAAAAAAAAAAAGATCTTGCAGTGAAAATTTAAAATTTTCTCTCAACTATCTTAACTGGGACATAAACATTTCTAAGAACCTTTCTTATATGTGGTCTAAGGTAATTATTATACAGTCCCATGTATAGAGAATTTGTGTTAAGTTTTCTGTGGAACTCAGGGTAATGAATTGCATGTTGAAATTTTGTGATCACAAAACCATTACATGTTTTGAGTAGAGAATAATCATTCTTTAAGAATTACAGCAAAAGAGATTGACAGAGATGGTTACATGTTCAAGTATTTTAGTGGTAAGACCAAAACACTGAGCACTCTCAGGCAATGACCTCTAAAATAAACACTGAAAGAATCATACTTTCCAAAGAATTAAATATTTCCTGCAAGAAACACAATGTATAACTAGCTTCATTTAACTTGTTCAGCTTCATCCTCACAAAGTTTGTCTTTATGGGTTTGTGTGTCCCATAAATGGCTGGTATTTGCTAATAGGACTTAAGGATAGCACTCTTCCCCTTTCTCACATTCTTGTTAACCAAAATGAGGAAACTGTGGTTCTCATCACTGAAAATGGGATTGCCCCAGATTTCCTCGGCTTTCAAAAATAAATGTTCTTTGTTTACTCTTATTATTAGAAAGAATGCCATACCTTCCAGGATAATGATAAATCCAGCTCTAAAGGCTATTTGTGGTATAGATGAAAATTTCAATCATGGCTACAGTTTCAGGATAGGCCATTGAGGAGCCATGCATGTTCAGCTTATTAGCACAATCATTCTTCTATAATCTCTTGGCTCAAATTATCTTCAGGTAGATGCTGTTTAACTTTGTTTGTTAAATGGGCATTTCCGGAATTCTCCTCAGGCACTTTCTAATCAGAGTACTGGAAAGGGAGACAAATCTCTGGGGATGGAAAGAAAAACAGAGACCTGGGTTTCCATTTCTTCTGGAAGACAATAAAATGGTACCTATTTGGAGAAAATATGGCTTTATCATGAAAAGACTGCAAGATCTTTTGAATTCCACTTAAAAATTTTCAGATATGATTCCTTAAAAAACAATCTGGCAAAGTGGTAAAATACAAAATCAACATGTGAAAAATCACTAAAAATTTTTACATGCCAACAATAAGCTGAAAAAGAAACAGAAAAATCCCATTTATATAATAGCCTCAAATTACTTTTCAGGAATAAACTTACCTAATGATGAAAAATATATAATAGAAACTCTATAGCATTGAAAAGAAGAAATTGAAGAAGACATGAGAAAAAGAAAAACAGCCCATGACCATGGATTCACAGGATTAATATTGTGAAAATAGCCGTATTGTTGAAAGCTATCTGGAGATTGAATAAATTTCCCATCAAAAATGTTATCTAACTACATTCACAGAAATAGAAAAATCAACCTTACAACTCAAATGGAAGTACAAAAGCTAAGTACAATAGTGAAGGAATTGGAACAGTGCTAGACATACTATAATACCTGACTTCAATTTTTCCAAATTATAGTAACACCAACAGCATGGCGCTGGCACATAAAAAGTCCTGCAGACAATAGAATGGAATAGAGTAGAATGCTCCCAGAAATAAGCCCATCAATACATAACCATCTAGGTTTTTGTAAAAGGAACCTAAAATATAAATGGAGAAAAGACAGCCTCTTAACAAATGATACTGAGAAAACAGGATAGTCACATGTAGAATATTGAAACTGGAAACCTATGTCTCATCTGACACCAAAATTATCAAAATCAATTCAAAATGGAAAAAAAGACTTTTTTCCATTAATAGGGTTCTGAATTCAATAGCTTGCCTTTGCTGGGCAGGCACTATATTACTTCCATGACCTCAGCTCCTATTTCAAAGTTATTTTTCTTATATGATCTCTTGTTTTTGCCTGGATCTGGTTTCGGACCATGATCTTTCTTCCTGATCACAGATGAGTAGACCACATCCAACAGGTATAAGATGGATTCTCTCAGACATATTCTTCGGCTTGCCTGGAGCTGAGATCTCTTCATTTTGATTAGTTGAGATTACAGGCATAACTACAATATCATCCATAATCTTGATTTAAAACTTGAAATTTTAGGGGGCTGGGAAGATGGCTTAGTGGTAGAGTGCTTGCCTTGCATGCCTGAGGCCCTGGGTTCGATTCCTCAGCACCACATAAGCAAAAAGAAAAAAGCCGGAAGTGGTGTTGTGGCTCAAGTGGTAGAGCGCTAGCCTTGAGCTGAAGAGCTGAGGGACAGTGCCCAGGCCTAGAGTTCAGGCCCCATGACTGGACCCAAAAAAAAAAAAACTTGAAATTTTGAAGATAGCATAGGAAAACACAGAGGAAATACTAAAAGTTATAGCTATAGGCAATATATTTCTAAATAGTGCTCCTATTCTTAGGAAAGTAAACAGGAATTTACAAGTTGGATTGCATCAAACAAAAAAGTTTCTCACATCAAAACCACAATTTCAAGAATGAAGACATCCCACACAATGGGTGGAAATCTTTTCAAGTTACTTATTAGATAAAGGATTAATACTGAGACTATACAAGTTTTCCAAAAACAAGAGAAATAGTCCACTTAATAAATGAACAAGCAAATGGATATCTGTCAAAAAGGAGAAATACAAGTGGCAAGTAAATACATGAAGAAATGTTCAACACTTTTAGCCATTAAGGAAATGAAAACTAATAAGACATTAAGATTCCATTTCATTCATTCCAAATGGATTTTTTCATTAAAAAAAAACCTGGTGAAGATGCAGGGAAAATGACCTCTTATACATTGTTGGTGGGAGTGAAAATTAGTGCAGCCACAATGAAAATATGTATGAAGCCCACTCAAAACATTAGGCCAGCAATATGATTCTTTAGTATATAGCCAAAGTTAGTATACAATAAAGATACCTGAACATCTGTTTTATTTCAACACAACTCATACTAGCAAAACTATTTTATTAGCCTAGGTGTTCAATAACTGATCAATGAGTGAAGAAAAAAATACATGCATACATGTATGTATGTATATATATAAAACCAATGAAGACTACTAAGCAAGAAAGGCAACTAAAATTAGTTAGCATATGGAAAAATGAATAGAACTAGAAATCATCATTGCAACTGAGAACTACAAATCATCATTGCAACTGAGATAACCCAAGCTCAGAAAGACAAATATCATATATTTTCACTCAGAGTGTAGACTTTTGAAAAATGACATGTTTGTAAAATTAGTACTGTTTAAGGTGGAAGAAGAGGAGATTGGAAACCAAAGGGCATAAGTATGATCAAATTACATTCTACATCTACGTAGAAAAATAGTATAATGAAACCCACTAAAATTTGTTTGAATGGAAGGGGCATGAGAAGTAAGAAACATAATGGACAATGAGATGTATAAGACACTATGTTGAAATTGAACTTTACAACTTCTGGGGGAAGAGGGGGGAGTTAGGGAGGTGAGCAAGGAAGGATGGTAGGGGAAAAACAAAGGAGTAGGTAACAATGCTTGATAGGAAATGTACTCATTACCTTACTCATGTAACTGTAACCCCTCTGTACAGTATCTTTACAATAAAATATATTAAAATAGAGGGTAAATTCAATGTACATTAAAATATAGAAATATCACACTGAAACCTCTTTGTACAACACATTTACACTAAAAGAATTTTTTAAAAAAATGAT